CCACCTAACTACTAACTTACCGGCGTGTGGCTTAAGTACGGCTGAGCGGACGGGAAGCCCTGTTCTCCACACCCTGTGGTCGTATGTACTGGGCTTAGCATTGAAAGGAATAATAACCAGTCTAAGTCCTTTACAAGAAACCCTAAATTTGACTGGATTTCATTTATGATTCCGTGTTTTCCATATCATCACTTTCCATATTATGTATATAATGGTTGAACAAATACTGAAACCTTAAGCATGGTGGATTGCAGACTTGGGGTAAGGAATGGACTCACTTTGGAGCTGATGGGGATTTGCCCATGGTGGAATTTCGAGTGGTGTGTGGGAAAGAAGTGAGTTTGGGGGTTAATTTTGCCAATTGCCAAAGAAGAATCTGGTGAATTTGAAGATTCTTGGGAAACTTACAAATCATTCTCATACAACTATCAACAAGTGCTACAAGTCTGGTTTTCTGCAACCATGTGGATGTGGAACTGGGGACCAAGGGGGACCCGGGGCTGAAACGTCACTTGGTCCCTGTCGATCGGAGAAATCTCATACGCTGTTGGATATAATTAGAAGTATTATTTACGCGAATGTAGTTGAGTTGAATTAGCAATCCAGTTTGTGGGGTGCCGTAATAGATGCGAATACTTCGATAGCCATTTCGATGAAAAGTCAGATTCTACAGCTTGAGGTATCTCTTCTCTATTTCATAGCACACCCATGATTCACCGCGCAAGCATATTCTCGGTCAAGATCTCAACATGGCTCCGTCTCTCCACTTTCCCGAGTGTAATCAATCAGCCACCCCCCTCCCCCGTTTTGCTGGTCCATTCGCGTCGGCCCTGGATCAACTCCAATCTTGGTCCCAGAGACCCTTCCCAGCCTTGGTATTGGTGGTGCCCCTAACAGCAGTAGTAAGGACACCCAGACTATAGAATTGACAGGCCGGAGCTTCAGGGTGGTTATGGGATGGAGGATCGGTCGGTGCGGTCCGTTTTGTTGTAAGACTCGGTTGTTTTGCGTTTTGCATTGACGGCCTTGACGAGCTTGCCCAGAATGGCATACTCCAGCTTCAGTTTGATACTGTATACCAGGCCCTTGAAAGTGACTTGAATCGCGTAAAAGCCCGCGTATTGAACAGCGACAAACGAGGCATCCATCAGGATGATGAGGACGTTGATAACAAGTAGCTGATGTAGTATACCCCAATACCGATTTTTCACGTGAAGCTTGAGAAATTTGACAGTTTCCCAAATATATAAGACTGATAGCAGAATCTCTTGGATACAGAATCCAATCAGTTGTATCCGTTCCATAATCTCATACCCCCTCACGAACTCCTTGGGATGGTTCGGTGCGTTGGTACCAAAGGCAAGCACTGTGGTAGGGATATGGAGCACAAAAGCGTCAATGATGATCACGTATAGAATGCCACGCAGCAGCTTTCGATTCTGCACTAGGAGGTGGAGCCGGGACCATAACACCATAGACTGGCCGGTCACCATGCAATACCATCCGATGCTCGTAAACGTTATCGAGATATTGTTGTTGTGTATGACGTTGAAAAGTTTGAGCATGAAACCGACATTATAGGGAATGATCCCAAGGGTCGCAACCAACAATGTCCAAAAGTAGACATCCCTTCTCTTTTTGAATCTGGTGAAGCAGAGAATCAGGAGCTCAATAACGTTGTAGTAGGCAATGGTGGTGAAAACAGAGACAAGGGTCGAATCAAGGCATTCACTGCTGGTATAGATACCCTCTGTGAGGCCCTGGTCCTTGTTCGATGCAGTAGAATTGGCCATGACTACCAACGCTCAAGGCGTTGGTTACAGTGTGCATTTGGGCAACGAGAGATGGAAGGTGGTGGTAGAGATGAAAGGTGGTGGTGCTAGAGATGAAAGGTGGCGGTAGAGATTGAGGGTTCAGCGCATTCCCGACCAAGCTGCCGGGCTTTGTTAACCTCTCGAACGCTGGACGAGGAGTGTGGCACAAATAGAGTGGTCTGGACCATTCTCCAGATCCTAAAGTACGCAGTATAGACAATAGAGTTACATTAGCCGGGTCCTCCCATATTGGCAACCACGGTGGCGAAGGCCAATCGACCACTTGGGAGGATATGTAGCAAAGTCAACCAATCGATCGGTAACGGATTCTATGTCCGAAAGGCCTGGTTTGATAATCCAGCCACGTCCTCTCCATGGCTTTGCACAAATTCTGGGTCTCATTTTTCCCCGGACGCACTGGATGTGATCCTGAATCCTTCCCGATAAGCTTAGGGTTCGTTTTGAGCCATGGAAAAAGATGTGCTGTCCTCGTTTAGTGTGACGATCAACGTGGCGCTAAGCACCAACTTTAATCATCAGGGCATTGAAGTCATGGCCGCTGTTTCATAAGCCTTCTACAATATCCCAATCGTGCCAGTTATACTTAATGGGTTTACAAATATATATAGATATACCTATAGATTATATTGTCTTAAACAATACGCTGTATTCCATGCTACATCCGTTTTGACAAATGGCATTTCAGGTTATCCGAGTGGAAACCGTCCTATCAAAGATCTGGTTCTGGCACCCCATGCGACCACGTTTCTGGCGAACTTAGATTCACCGCCAAGCATCGAAGACTGAGGCATGACGATTACATTCAGTGGACATTATTTGCAAAAATCCTTCAGTCCTGTGTAAGTGTTATAACCTGTCGGGCCTCTACATCCCAGGGCATAGACAAAGCTGGTGCCGACATACTCGTGATCCTCCGCTCCATAACAGTCAGGATACTGTGATCGCCTTCCATGTCTCACGGCAACAATGGCTTCACTGGAGGCATCTATACCAACCGCCGCTGTCTAGATGAAATCCTCTTTGCTACCTTCATCGGATTGTCTTGGTATAATGCGGTAGAGCTCGTGGTGCTCTGTTTCACAAGATTCAAACGGTGGAGGGGCATTTACTTCTGGAGTCTGCTTGTCGCATCCGCCGGTATTATCCCATACGGTCTCGGCTTATTCCTAAAGTTCTTCAACGTTGTCCGCCATAATTATCTCGGAACACACACACTGGTGACCATCGGTTGGTGTTGCATGGTGACGGGCCAGTCAATGGTCCTGTGGTCACGACTCCATCTGATTGTGTGGAATCATCGAGTCCTACGTGGCATCCTCTACCTAATCATCTTTGACGCTATTATATTCCATATACCAACAGCGGTGGTTGCATTCGGCACTAACGCGCCAACCCATCCTGCCCCTTTCGTCAAAGGATACAATATTCTCGAGCGAGTACAATTAATCGGATTTTGTATCCAAGAGACATTGCTATCCGCGATCTATATTTGGGGTACGTTGAAGTTCTTAAGGTCTACTAATGAGACCCGTTATCGGTATATATTGTATGAGCTCCTGCTCATCAGTGTGATTATCATTTTACTTGACGGCTCTTTGGTTGGCACGCAATATGCCGGCCTGTATTCTGTGCAAACAACATTTAAGGCACTGGTCTACAGCATCAAGCTGAAGCTTGAATGGGCTATCCTTAGGAAGTTGATCAAGGCTGTCAAGGTGGGTCTTCCACCAGAGCGATGTTCAACAGAGCATCCCAAACCAGACAGCCAAATTCCGGAGAAATCCGAAACAGAGCGATGCGCTGAAGATCCATACATGTGCACAGGGGCTCGTCTAAGTATGCAGGGGACTTCACCAGAGCTTCCATCAGAGCCCTCAAGGGTCCTCACTACAACCACCCAAGTCTTGGCTCGAGACCTCCGGAGGGTTGGACAAGGCTCCCATCAGGAAACAAACAGTGAGGTTTCAGTGTTGATCAAACCTACGAAAACCTACGAGGAATGAATGAGAGGAGATCCTTGCACTTGAGAAGTGAGAATGTGCACCAGGAGACCACACAAGCAACTGGTTTATGTACATACTGTCAGCCCAATCCGGGCATGCGCATAACCATGCCGTAGCTCCGACCAGCATATATTCAGCGAAATCGCAGGTCTAGTAGTATGCTTGTGGTGTCT